GTGGATTTGATGTCTGGAGAGAAAAGATACAGCATTTTCCTAGCCCACCCTATTTAAACTGGAAGTTATCTTCCAATCTCTATATACCTAGTATTTGGGAATGCTATATAATAAAACTTCATTATCACACACTTTGATTTTCTAAAAATTGTTCCCTTATATTCAACCCAAATTCAATTTAATGAACTCTACTCACTTGGCCCCAAATCTTTCCTTTAGATCTGTAATAAATACCGATATCTAACTTAAAGATAACCTCATGTTCTTCCAATTATTTCTCTTCTCCAGGCCAAACAAAGTCAATTGCTTAAAAAAAATTCCTGACCAGGCACATATCTCCTTCACCATTTTAGTTGCTGACTACCTCTTGACCTGGTTTTTATATGCAAATCTGTTCCATGTGCCTTTTAACGTGGACCTGTAGAGCTGAATAGGTGTAGGCAATGTGACCATTACAGAGTCCAACAGGACTATTTTCTCCCTTTGTTTTGGACAGTCTACTTCCAAAAGCACAATCCAACATCCCCACACCATTCTGTAGACACATACTGAGCTGTAGGTACAACCCTCCCCTACTTTGTTCTATTCGCCCATTTATCTCCTCCCCTGTTCTGTGTTTGTGCATTAGTTGGGGAAATCTAAAATCAGGACTTTTATTTACTGCCCTGTTAGATATTATGTTCAGGCAACGACTATAGACAAGGTCAGGAACAAGCATGCTATACTACTAACTAGTTTCCCCCCGCATCCCTGACCTCTCCCACCCGCCCCCCCCCCCCCCCCCCCCCCCAGTACTTATGAACATTTAGGAAGAAGAGAACTCCATTTCAGGAACATTACTCATATACTCTCACTGCCTCTGTAGAAACACTAAATAGAGCCATCAACTTGGAAAATCTATTGTCTTTGAGTCTCTGTCTCCTTTAAACATTCTTCTTGGTTGACTGAGTGTCATTTATCTATGGAGCACCCCTCCCCTCACTACCGAGAAGTCAAAACCTACATTCGACTTATTGCACAAACTCAATTGTGCTCTCAGCAAAAATAATTAGGCTTACTTCTCTGTTTGAACACAATGCTGCATCCCTCTGAAGATATCGGAGTGCTGAAGAGAAATCTTTACAAAAGAGATTTTTATGCAGCCTTGAATGGACGTCCACATGTCTTGTCAGTTTCCACCGCAGCTCCAGCTTTGAGCACAGTCAAGTCAGGTGGCAAGAATACTAACCAGAGCCTGGTCAGGTGGCCCAGTTGGTTGAAGCGTGGTCTCCTACACCAAAAGCTTGTGGTTTGATTCCTCATCTGGGCCCGTATCTAGGTTGTGGGTTGGATTCCCTGGTCAGAGTACATAAAGGAGGCAGCTGGTAGATGTTCTTTCTTGCACCAATGTCTGTCTGTCTCTCTCTCTCTCTCTCTCTCTCTCTCTCTCTCTCTCTCTCTCTATCTCTATCTCTCCCTCTCTCTCTGCCTTCTGCTCTCCTCAGATGAGGATTAAGAAAGAAAAAAAAAAGAATACTAACCAGAGCATTAACCTCTTTGACAGCAGCACTCACAGACCTATCTTCATGTGCAATAAGAGCAATGTCCCTTCCCCTCTGCCTTCCACAAAGTCCTGAATTCAAACCTGTAGAGTGTATTATGTTCTTTTAAGTTTTAACAAAGAAGGAAAGGAAGTAAAATGATGGCAAAGGGAGACATTGAAGATCATCTCCCAATAAAAAGGCAGAGCAGCTCGTCCCAGAGTATTTCCCTGCGCATATTTTTACACTGCCGCTCCACATTGAAACTTAGTCTTTTAAGGCAAAAAATCCTCAAAAGATCAAGTTCAAGTTGGGTATTCAAAGACAAAACGAAATGATTATCTGATGAATTCAATTAGCTATCCAACCTAATTAAGACTCCCTGAACTTTTTTTTTTCAAGTAGTTTTTCTGAAGGTCATTCTCTGCCTAATTTCCCAAACTTTCCATTTCCTTTTAGCTGAGAAATGTGTTATTTTGAAAAGAACCTTATGGATGTAATATCAAAGATTTTCCTTATACCGCTTTGAGGGCAGGGAGAGCTTTTACTGCTGCCTTTTAATTTTCCCCCACTGTAAGGGTTGTGCTTAAATAGCCTATTAAACTATTTATTGTATGTGGGAAGGGCACTGGATGAATGATTGTTTCCACATTGCTGCGAGCTGATCATAAATCTAAAAGTTAACAAGAAAAACCAAATCAGCTACAAACAACCGAGTCATGTTAAAAGAGTCACAATGATATTTCAACTTGCTAGTTATGGGCATGTTGATCTGATCCTACACTTTGGGAAACAGGGAAGTTAATACTGTGAAACGGTAATGAGGGCTGCTGATTTCATTGCTTACTAAACATTTTAGGATAAACCTTCATTTTGGCTGTCCAACCTGAAACATAATATGAGATTATTTGGACAGTTCGTTTTCCTCCTTTGGAACAATGGAAAAAATTTAAATGCTTGGGCATAAAAAGCGTTCTTATTATTAAAAAGAGGGAAAAAAGTGGTGGAGGGGGGGAGGGACCTAGTAAATGCCTTAAATAAAAATGATTGCTGTGCAGACATAAGCCTTATTAACTGCTCCTTGGCATCATGGTTATTTATGTAAAAGTCTTTATTGAGGACATAAACCCACCATTTCATTATTATTTGCTGCCAATACAATGAACATTACAAGCAAGAAAACAAGGAGTTCGTTTCAGATTTATAATTAATGAGACACCAAATGTTATTTAAAAACACTCAAGGCATCTCTGAACTGCTTTAAAATGCAACTTTAGAAATAAAAACAAACTCAGTGCAGGATTCTCTATCCTCAATCTCAGCTGCTTTATTAAGTAACAAAAAGATAAACAAGAGGCTGATGAGCCTCCAGAGATCGACACAATCTACAACCGTTACACCAAACGCATAAAGTGAGGAGCGCTGAGAAGCCGATGGAAGAAAATGAAACTCGCTTGAAGTAAATGTTCAAGCCACTGAGAAGATGAAGTGATCTAGGAACCGTCTTTAGAACCGTTTTTGCCTGCTCTATTCATTAAACAGGCCTGGGCACAAGAGCACTTTCATGATTTAAAGACTCTTATTAATAAAAATGCTCCTCAAGAATGAAAGCAAACATCCATGGACACATACACGAATGTCCACCTGTGGCACAGGATTTTTCTGTCCATTTCCACTCACTGAAACCCCATGGCCAGAGGCTAGTAACTGAAACTAGGTAGGGGACCTTTTTTTAATCTCTTGCCCGGGAAAACAACACCAAAGATTTAATTCCACAGAGATGCCACTGCGCTAGGGTATCAGCTCTTTGGGTTTTGAGTCTCTGCTCCTATGGTCTTTTCCTGATACTCAGATATATGGTGATAAATGTCTCCTTAATTTGCACAACAGCTTTCAATTGGCTTCACGGGAGACCACCTTGAAGGAGCGAGTAAAAGGTTTAGTCATGGTTTCTATTTTCCTATTGGAATCAATACACTCTAGCTAAATGGACAATTAATAGGTCACTTCCAAAATAGTAGTGTATCAGTCCTGGTTCATAAACAATCCCCACAGAGGATAATGGGCCCTATGTATTCAGCGAGCCCTGCCTGCACTCAGCTCATCCACTAAATCCCCTTTCAGGTGGACAGGGGGATATGGGAAGATGAGCTAGAATGAGTCTATAAAAGTCAGTTCCATTCACTGCTTTATTTTTCCAGTCAAGCGCCTTAAATGGTGTCCAGAAATTCACTTGGAATGCGAGACAGGAGAAAAGACTGACCCACAGAGCCTGGCTTTGTGACCATACAAAAGGGCAACTGACCCTTGCCCGAGCCTTTTCCATGTGAAATGGCTCCTAAAGTTCATCCGCACAGTGAAAAATCGTGGTGAGGTCGCGTGTGGATGAGTCAAGTGAAAGTGACGATTGGTCACGGGTCTGTCGCCCATTGTGGCTGGGTCCCCGCCGTGTGAAGTGCTCTGTGGGAAAGTGTCGGCCCCCTAAAGGGCTGCTCAGAAGCTTGCAGCTCATTAAACGGCCAGGATTTGCTGCCTCACTTGTCAGCAATCATTCTGTGGAGCAAGGGCTCTGCTGAAACATTCATAAAACACACGCAGAGTGGTGGTGGGGATCTGAATTCAACCACGATGGAGCTCTGACTTGGGCCTGACTCAACTCTTATGTCACTTTTCACCCCACAGAGTGGTTAACCTGCGTAAAGGTTTATCTCGGGCAGCTGACATACATGCACTCCTCCGCGGGACTTCTCTGTCATAAACTCGAATTCTCTACCTCCAGATTGCCACCTAGTTTAGCTAGCAATCTAAAACCAAGGTGAACTTGATGGACTTTCAGCGAGTCGTTTTTCCTTTGCGTGTGTATGTGTGTGTGTGTGTGTGTGTGTGTGTGTGTGTGTGTGTGTGTGTGAAAGCTGGCATTCTCGTCCCACCCCTGAAATTGATTGAAATTCTGTGATGTTTGGAGACAAGTTCTCTTGCAAGTATGTCCCAGGAGGCTGGTTGGTTTTCTTCAAGATTACGAAGAGGAGGAATTTATTTCTTTTTTACAATCTTAACGATTTCAAATTATTTTCTATGGACACCCAGTGACTTTCTGTGCCACATTTCAAGCTGAATGGGAATTTTGCACAGCACAGTTTCTTAGCCTTCCTTTTTTCCCCTCTTTAAATGGGTATTGCTACACATTTCAGAATGAGCCAAACTGGTTCCTCTGAGATCTTTTATATCAAATGGAAAACAAGTCCCTCTCCTCGGAGTGTCAGCCCTGGGTTTCAATGCCGTTAGAAACTGCTCACAATTGCTCAGTGTGCTGAGGTTTGATAAATCTCCGGGAGCCTCCTGAATGGGATCGCTGTGATTTTTAGTGAGGAATTAGCTCCTTGCCATTGCATTACCAATTGGTTTTCCAGAGCACATTAAATCCTGCTGCTTCGGTTTACAGAATAACTGAGGCATTGCTGATGAGGCATAAAAACTTACTTGGAAAAACAGTGGGGGATGCGGGGCGCCGACAGGACCCACCGCAGCACGCTGAGTAGAACGGCGGGGCAGTCAGGAAAAAAGGCTTGGAAGGCGCTGCAGAGAAAGCATGGATATCGCTCATTAGCCATTTCTTTTAGACAAAATTCAAAAGTCCAGTTTCCCAAAAGTCACTGAGTAAAAGCCCTTCATTTCCCGAGCTTTTACTTAGTTATTCCTCTTACTGAATTTAAAGTAGCCCTTATCTGTCAAAGACCCTGCCAACTAATTTAGTCAAGATTTGGAAGATGTGGTGAAAAGACTGCAGTGGTCAAAACCAAAAGTAACAGTTTATTTCTGTGTAGTCATGATTGTAAGCAGTATATATCAGGCAGCAAATATCCCCTACTTAAAAGATTCTAGAGCAATACCATCCAAGAGAACTCTCTGTGGTGATGGAAATGGCCTGTAGCATCACTGTCCAATATGCACTTGTCACAGAGGGCGACTGAGCACTGGAAATGCAGCGAGTATGCCTGGGAAGTCTTCACTAAACTATATTAGGGTTAAGTAGGCTCATTTGGCTAGTGGCTATCATATTGAATAGCACAGCTCTACTAGTAGATATAATACTTGCCAAGAAACAATATGAATTTTGAGTTTAATTTTTAAAAGAGATTATACTACTGTAACTTAATTTCAGAAGGTTCTATGAAATATGTAGTTGGATTCAAAGTTTATAATAGTTAATTTATAAATAATAAATTATAGAGTCTGAGCAATTCCACAACAACAAAAAAGTGGTTTTTTTTCCTGATTGCTTTTTCATGTTTAAAAGTTTTTGAGAAGAGTAATAACGTTTAATCACAAGAGAAATCTAGTTAACTTGAAAGCATTCATGTTTATAGTATAGGGAGTTGCCATATTAATGTTCTGCTCATTTTATTAAACTATGTTGTTCCTAATATATTCAATACATATACATGAGTAAGTTGTCATTATACTTATAAATAAAGAAATTTTAAATTCTGTTTCTCAGTAGATGAAAAATACCTATAAAGGATATCATAAAACATTAATAGCTATTTTTTGCTGAGCACTTATTATATGCTAGCTTTTGGTTAAGTACCTTAAATATGAAATAGGCTTTAGTATAAATGTAAATATGTATGAGATTTCCTGAAGGTGGACAATTTTCTTTTACTAGGGCACACCCAGCAGAATGCCTGGCATACTCTAAATAGTCAATACATTTTCATCAAGTGAATAAATGATTTGCAAATCTAAGAAATAGGAAACTTTCTATCATCTTACATAAAGAATGAGGATCAGATGCACCCCTATGTTCACAGCAGCACAATTTACAAATAGCTAAGATTTGGAAATAGCCTAAGTGCCCATCAGCAGATGAGTGGATTAAAAAACTGTGGTACAAAACAATAAACTGTGGTACATCTACACAATGGAATACTACACTGATGTAAAAAAGAAGGAACTTTTACCGTTTGCAACAGCATAGATGGACCTGAAGAGCATTATGCTAAGCGAAATAAGCCAGTTGGAGAAATATAAATATCACACGATCTCACTCATTTGTGGAATATGATGAATAACATAGACTGATGAACAAAAATGGATCCAAAGGCAGAGAAGCACCAAATGGACTGTCCAACCTCAGAGAGGAGGCAGGAGAAGGCAGAGAAGGGGATGTAAAAAATCAACCAAAGGACTTGTATGCATTCACATTAGCAAAACCAATGGACATGGACAATAGGATGTTGGGGCCTTAAAAAAAAAAAAAAAAAAAAAAAAAAAAAAAAAGAATGAGTATCAGGAATTAACTGCATCCTGTTCCCCTGACACTACCTGAAATACAATATCTTCTATAACAGATGACCTTGAAATTTAACAAATGACTTCAAAATAATGATTTTACTCTCCCTTCATACCCAATGGCACCTAACCACATCCATCACAGCCAGTGGTGAACCTGAGGAGGGGTGGTGAAGGATTAAGAAGACAAACAAAAGAATGCAGTCGGGGCCCGGTAGGACACTGTTCTCAGATGGAGAGACAGTGCCCCAGCCTGTCATTTTATAGTCAGATCCCATGAGGCAAAGAAAAGGCACAGTCAAGATGTTTACAATGTTCTCATGAGTTTCAAATCTATTTATTTACATGCACCTGAGAACTCTATCAAGCTTTGTTTTGGCAGCACTTGCTGTACCTCCTGCAGTAACATCACTCAGCCACCTGGGACCATGGGTTCGGACCATAAGGTCAAGCTTATAACCATACCCTTCGGCTATAATTGTGCTGGGAGGATTTTGCCCTCCAAGCTGGGACCTGCATGTGGCTTTGCCATGAGAGGATCTTGCCCTCTCATTAGTCCAAGGCTTGAACCTGTCCAAACACTGTAGCCACTCTCCACAGGCATCTCTTTTCTCAATTATAGTAAAAATTATTTTGATACAAATATATGTCTTCCTTTAAGAACACAGAAATTTCAGACTTGTATTTTAATTAATTGATGAGTATGTGTTTATTTTAGCCAATGCCTTTGAAGACACTAATATGCTAAGTGTCCAAACATCTGACCAGTTGCTATTATGCACACTGACCACCGGGGGCAGACACTCAACGCAGGAGCTGCCATGACGCACACTAGCCATTTTATAGATAAACAGCCCCATAAACCTGGCACAAACAAAGCAACATTTGGCTTCTCCTAAGTGGGACACAGACCCTGCCACCACCCATTTGGAGCAACAGCCCACCAAATCGCAACCAACACTGCAAAATGTGGCCCACAACTCAGCCCAGCCCAAAAACCATTACTGTGGGAACTGGTTAATAATGTCACATAACAACCCCAGCTTCCTTTCCCTAATGACTAGCCTCCTTGGAGTTTCTTAAGCCCAGGAACCCTACTTGCTTTATAGCCAGGTGCTAACATTTTACACTTTAACCAAATGTCTGTGAAGCATTTCCCATGCCTCATCTTATTTGATCCTCACAAAAATCTTAGAGTAGGTAGATAGGAGACTTGGTGGAATCCTATTTTATTTTTATTAGCTGGAAAATGGAGATTTAGAAAGCTTAGAAACTTGACCTGACTGAAAAGAAGTAAGAAATGCTGGTCCTTGAAAATGAATTAAGATTTTCCCACTGTGCAGAATAAAGTCAAACACTGCTGTAGTTAAATATTTTACCCTTTGTTCTCCCTGTGTGATCTACAATAATAATCTGCTTTATGTTGATATTTACTGCTGTGTTACTGATAATTACCTGAGAGAGACTTTGGGGTGCTTCTCTGGGCTGGAAAAAGTTGAGCTACATCAGAAAGCAGTTCTAATTAAGCAAAGTTATTCTATATTTATAAAAGGCTAAGTTGACTCGCACATGCACAATACATATAAAGCTCTTGCTGGTGCCAAACACTTTGATCTATCATTGTCGATTGTGAATTTGGTTGACACTTCTATTATAGAGAAAAGGCAAATAGTGATATTAAAATATTTCTTCTAATTAATTTCCTTTCCATGTGCATGAATTCGTATACTGGGCCACTAGTATCAGAATAAGTCTCTTTCCCAGTAAAAATTTTAGTCTCAGAATTTAAGTCTTGCAACTTAATCACAAATTCAGATTTTTTCAATAATATAATGGAAATCAGTCAATATTGATATTTTTATTTTTCAAAATCTGGATTTTCAAATAAGAAAATGTCTTAATGTTGTTTTGAAAATATGACAACTATGCAAAGTATAACAAATACCTAAAAAAAAAAAAAAAAATACCTATTTTGGGTGTGCAAAAAATTCAATAAAACTTAAAAAAAAAAAAAAAAGTGTAATCCTCACTTAAGGACATGCTTACTGAGCCACAGCAGGAAGGATCTTTAAATTTCATTATTATCAAAAGTTGACCCTCCTTTTCTTGGCGGGGTTCGGGCGTGCGGTCCCGGTCCCCGTAATGTACGGAGGCAGAGGGAGAGGGCTCCGGCCCCCTCGGCGTCATGTCTTCGGTGCCGGCGGTGTCCAGTCCGCCGGTTCTATCCTCAAGCGCCGGGACACGGATCTCCGAGAAAAAAAAAAAAAAAAAAAAAAAAAAAAAAAAAAAAAAGTTGTTCAGCCCTGGCCAGTGTACTCAGTGCTCAGTGGTTAGAGAATCTGCACACCACAGGGTCTCAGCTTCAATTCCCAGTTAAGGACACATACCTGGATTGCTGGTTCATCCCCCATCCCCAGTCAGGGCACGTGCAAGAGGCAACCAGTCGATGTGTCTCTCTAAATAATAATAATTTTTTCTCTTTCTCCCCACCTTCCCCCTCTCTCCCTCCAACTACCTCTGAAAAGGAATGGAAAAAATATCTTCAAATGAGGATTAACAAAACAAAAAAACACAACACAACAAAACAAAAACGTTCTAATATTGATAACACCATCGTAGTAATGATACATCATTTCATTTAAATTTAACATCTTAAATTATATTACAAGAGCATGACATTATTTAGGCAGAGTTTCTATGAATATATGAAGTACTTAGAAAAGCAGAAATATATTCTGTGCATAAAAACTTGCCTCATTGTGTTTATTTTCAAGCATTTCAGTTAGCTAAGTTATTTTGTCAGTTAGCTAAGTTATTCCATCTCCAAAGTAAACATTCTATAGATAATTAAGTTGCCGCTATTGTGTTATTTGCCACTTAAAAAAACTGAGATAAAAGGAAAAGATTCAGCAACGTTGCACTTAGATGTATATACACAATTAACATTTATCATGACAGCTAGAAATACATAAAGATATTTTTGCTGGATATAAAGTAAGTACTATTGATACCACTGAAATAATGATGCGGGATATGTACAAATTACAAATTATATTATTCTAGCCAACATCTTTCTCAGGCTAACCCTAGAGCCCTAACACTGGAAAAATAAAGGGTAAAAAAATGAATGGTAAATTTCAGACAAATGATCAATTAAATTCATTTGTGATCAATGAAATTCTGAGATCTAAATTTGGCCAGAAAAAGAGTTGTAATTGAGCAGTCTGTTACATTGCAATATATTACCCTCTTGGTAAGGTAAAGCTGTCATCGACATGACGTGC